ATAGAGCTATTACTTAAAATGATAATTTGATTCGAATTTGATATATTTTGATATGAACTGGACTAAAGTAACTAAAATTAAAACAAAAATTTGAATTTGAATTGGTCCGGGTCTAATTTTGTAAGGGATGAAGTCAAGTTGAGTTTGAGTTTATGATGAAAAATCTTCGACCCGAGATAATAATATATTTTTATTCTATAAATTTAGAGATAATTGTTATAAATCTCTCTATATTTTTTCCAATTAGGTCTCTATTTTCTAAATAAAAATAAGAATTATATATATTTGTCTTGAACCAAATCAGACCGGATGTGGGGTTTTACCTCAAAATTTGAGCTGAGTTCAAGGTCGGATGATATCTCACTAAATTTTGGTCGAGTCGAGTTCGATGGGGGAGTATGCTTCTTGAGTCGGATAGGTCGACAAAAACCCAACCCAATTCAAGACGTTGCCATCTCTAAGTATAAATAGATATGAGTATGTGATTTAAACTTGACGAATTCTGATCCGATTTGATTTTGTAATGTTGGTTTTTTTTATCCAATAAATTCAACTTGTATGCTTTCATTAATAATAATGAAAAAGAACTTGTACACTTTCATAAGTGGAATCTGTGTTGATTCAGAATCAACTCGATCTTAAACCTGAATGCAAACAAGCCGAAGTGATAAAATGAAGGGAGATAAAATAATCAATGATTAGATACTCAAAGGCCATATGTATAAGAGAGAATGTCCAAATGCGAAATCCCAGAAAGGTAATCAAAGTTTTCAACTGTCTACCAAACAGACGACAAAGAAAGGCGCATGGGCTTCGAACACATTTCACGAACGCCACCCCACGCCGCTATCCCATTTAGCCGTTTCAAGCCAACACTAAGATCACACGCACCGGCACCCCCAGCATCGGATCCCGTATGACTATCGCCTCATCTTTTTACATTTTAGAACCCCACTCTCTGTTATTTTTATTTATTTAATTACTGTGATTGTTGATGGTGGGTGGGATGGGAACAAGCTTTATTGGAATTATGTGATTTAATTTTTTTAATTGAATTCAAGATGAATGGGAACAAATTTATTTAAAATGAAAGTTAAAATGAGAATTAACAGTGGTGAACAAAAGGGTTAAATTTGCGTAAATTTTTTTCTTCTTATTTTTACAATATGATGTAGAGTAGTAAATTCAATTTGCCCCCTTAAGAACATACGACTTCACTCATGCCACCCACAACGACCCTTCGTTTGCCAAGATCTTCCTGAGCAATTGACATGCTCGATTCCAACATGTCAAATCCTTCAAATCCAAACCACCCTCGGATTTAGGAAAGCAAACCCGACTTCAACTCACCCTTGCAGCCACGGCCAGAGAATTCGAACCATCCAAAAAAAACCTCATACAGAGCTGCTCAATTCTCTTTACAACATCATTGGGCAAAACAAATTGCTTAAACCAATCAACACAGACTGGATCAGCTGCAACTTACCCGCGTAGCTCAACCTATAGCTCGACCATAGGCTCAGTCTCTTCCTGATCGAAGCAAACAAACCATGGCAATCCTTCTCAGATAGTCTTTTCGTCACCAACGGGACTCCCAAATACCTAACAGGTAGCTCTCTGATTTTAAATCCCAAGATGTTCTTAAGAGGGCCGATGTTTGGGTTTTTTAGCCGAAAACTTGGTTACCTGGAGCCTAAGGAAAATGTTCTCTCTTAGGGAGATTGTGAGGTCCTTGTTTGAGGTTGCTATATCTGTTCGGACACAGTGGTTTTGGCAAGAGTTGCGGGTCAAGAACGATAAGGTTCCATGGAAGAAGTTGGTATGGTTCCCTTTGCATGTACCTCGACATGCTGTTATTGTTTGGCTAGCGTTGTTGGATCGTTTGGCCACGAAGAATAGACCTCGTCGCATGAGGGTGGTGATTGAAGGTGCTTGTGTTTTATGTAGGGATGCGGAGAAGAGAAGAAACCACCTCTTATTTGAGTGTGTTTTCTCGGTTGGCATCTGGAGGGATGTGCTGTCTTGGTGGGGTATTCAGCATGTGATTAGGGTTGGGAGAGCGACTTGTAGTGGTAACATATAAATGCTCACCGGTCATTCTCTTTTCCCATGTTCCATCCAAATTAGGGTTCTTCATAGTAATAAATCAGGTATGAGATTGTCATCGATAAACCCTTGTAAACAAATCCAAACTCACCCCACCCAGAAGATTACTTCGGAGAACTTATGAATTACCAGTTCGAGCTCTTTGAAGGTAAACACACGAAGACTTGAGAGAATTGAACAAATCACTCAATAACAGTGGAGACTCCCAATTACTGATATCAAAGAGTGACACCTGGAGTTTGATGCAAATCGGGAGGATGCAATTCAAAAGGAAAAATTAAAATTTACTCAAATATTAGTGATTACTTGTGTAGTTTATCCTTTTTAATTTTATATGTTCATCGTGTTACGTCAACAATCTGTTAAAAGTCTAATAAAAGTTAATTCTCAGTGATCACATCTTAATAAAATAAAAACGGAAGTGGTCAATTTTTTTTTTAAATTTAGTGAAAAATATACAAAACTTAATCGAAAATGATCAATCTTGTAGTTTAGCATTGTATATTATATATAAGTTATAAATCTAGTCTGTAGAAATGACCATCCAGTTCAATTGGTAGAGCACAAGGTTTTTAACCTTGAGGTCGTGGGATTGAGTCCCACAGAGGGCATTTTATAATTCGGAGGTCTTATACGAAGTTGCTCTCAATTGGTATTGGGGTTATATATATATAAGTTATAAATCTAGTCTGTAGAAATGACCATCCAGTTCAATTGGTAGAGCACAAGGTTTTTAACCTTGAGGTCGTGGGATTGAGTCCCACAGAGGGCATTTTATAATTCGGAGGTCTTATACGGAAGTTGCTCTCAACTTGGTATTGGGGGCAGCCTACTATATTACCTCCCCTTACCCCATACATATGAGAAAAAAGGGACAACCATTTTTTTATTATAAATTTAGTCTGTGTATACTGATTTTTAATTTTCGTTTTATACTTTCAAATCGGTTTCATATCATATTCGAGGATGATGGGAATTTGCTTCTTCAAGGTGGTTGCAGATAAAAATAATTATCTTGTCAACATTCTATCTTTGTTGCTAATGCACAAATTTGTTTTTAGAAAAACCTAGAGTTTAAGGATGAGTAAAATTTGACTCAACTCAAAAAATTAATTTTTCTGACTCGATTTGACTTCACTTCACTTGACTCGACTCGATTTTTTTTTAAATTTAAGCCGGTTATAAAATATAATTCGAATAACTCAAATAACTCAAAGGTTTTAGTGGTTATAGTATTGATTTTCAAGTTTTAGTCAAGTGAATCAATTATGTATGATATATGTATATCATATACGGAAAAATGTGAAAAAAATATATGTATGTATATAGTTATAGAAAATCGTTTAAAATAGAATAAAAATATACGATAATATTATACATATTTACAATTAAATTTAAACAGAAACTCGAACAACTCGACTCGAAAAAAATTCAAATAAAGGTTGAGTTATAACATTAGGATTGGTTAACTCAAATAACTCAACTCGATCAAACACTCGTCCCTAATAAAGCCCATATATTGATAACAAAAATGTTATAGGGTGTATTTGCTTCTTGTGACCATAATGCCCAATTTAATTTTTTTCTTTAAAAAATCTAGGATGGTTATAAGGTGTTATTTGTTAAAGATTCACAATCATTTAACAATGAAAGCTCAACCATCCTTATTTAGTCTTTGATGCTCGAACCTAAAACCTCTAGGAATAATAATCACCCCTTTAATTATTGAAATAACTTGATTCGTGCCATTTTAAAATCCTAATTATGATTCAAATAATACAAAAAATTATAATATATAGTTGATGTACTGCCTAAACCTCATGGGTCATGATATGATTACACAAGTTTGAATTCATAGCCTATTATATTTGCAATAATAAACTTAATCCATCTAAGATCCAATTGAGATAGATAGATAATAGATATTTTAACCCTAATTATAATTTTTTATTCTCAATCTTAAAAAAAAAATCAATTTACTCTTTGAATTTTCTTTTCTAGTTTAATCTTGATTTTTTTATTTTTGTTGTGAAATTAAATTAACTATAAAAAACACATGCTAAGCTTACACCAATTATTATCTTTTTAACAACGGTAGCATTTTTTTATTTTAGGTAATTTATGTAAATTGTTTTTTAAAATTGTTTAAAAGAATATTGATTTTTATCTCATTAATAGGATGAATATTTGACATGTATCTGATAGGTTTCGATTTGTCCAATCATATGCGATTTTTTATTTTAAAATTTGGAGTTCATTTCGGATTAAATTTGTTTTGAAAGATAATATTAGATCGGACTCAGATTTATAATAAAAAATACTCGATCCCAAAAAAAATATATAATCTTCATATATTTGATGATCATTTTTATAATATCTCTCTATAAATAATTTTTCAATTATATCTTTATTTTAGCTAATAAAAGTAAGATTATATATATATATATATATTTGTGTTCGTAATATCAAAGGAAAGTATGAGTTCTTACCTTAAAATAGGGTCAAAAATATCGATTGAACATAATGACTACCGGTATTTGTTATGTGCAGTAAATTACATCAGAGTGCTTTAGCCTTACAGAGTCAAACTTCTCTTAATCTGAATTTGTTTTGAAAACTTAATCAAATATTTTTGAATCAAATAAAATAATCTTTAAATCAAATGGGAGCCTCCATAGGAGCCAACGGCTCATATTCAACCAACGGCTATCATATCTAACGGGGATCTTTTGCAGCTTCGTTATTTTTTATTTTTCTTCTCGGTATGTTGCATTTATTAATGTCCCGGTGTTTCTTTGTCTTCACCGCCTTTTCTTTCTTTCTTATCTTCGAGGAACAATTTCAAGTCCAAGAAAACCCTCCTTTGCCTTGCCTTAATCCATCTTTATCCCCAAATCAAATCTTTCCAAAATTATACCCAAAAAGCCTTCCCACTTTCTCTCTACTTCAACTCTTCCCATTTCCATTGGATCGATTGCGTCGTCACCAGCTTCTTCTCTCGTTAGGGTTTTGTTTCTTTTCTTTGGGGGGTGCCGTTTTCCTTCAACGAACGGGGGATCTTTTGCTGCTTCGTTATTTTTGAATTTTTTTCTCGTTATGGACTATGAAGTTTGCGATAGTAGTGGTATGTTGCATTCATTAATATTGTATTATTGTATTGAACAATGCCTGGTGCTTCTGGGTTTCTTTTTCTTCACCCCTTTTCTTTCTTTCATTTTTTGATTCGAATTGGAATATTGGGTAATGGGTGCATTTTTTTTGGGGTTGGGGTAAAATAAGAAAGGAGGGTTTAGGGTTTAATTGGGGTCATTGGCTATTTGTTCAATTTTATCAAGGAAATGATTTCTTGCGCTTTTCCTTTCAGAGAGAGAGAGAGAGAAATCCATGATATTAAAGCATTAATTTTTTTCTCTGTTTGGAAGAAAAGTTAATTTTCTTTCGTTCTTTCATTGTTCAATTACTTTTCCATAATACGCTAGATATTAGTTGGCTGATACAATGAATTTCCATAATACGCTTGATATTAAGTTGTTATAGATATATATCATGTTATATTCTCTTGTGTGTTGCCCATGATCTTTTTCATTGTTTTGTCTCTTATTGTTCTTTATTTTGTTTTATCGTGATTCAGAGAGAGAGAGAGAGAAATCCATGATATTAAAGCATTAATTTTTTTCTCTGTTTGAAAGAAAAGTTAATTTTCTTTCGTTCTTTCATTGTTCAATTACTTTTCCATAATACGCTAGATATTTAGTTGGCTGATACAATGAATTTTTCCATAATACGCTTGATATTAAGTTGTTATAGATATATATCATGTTATATTCTCTTGTGTGTTGCCCATGATCTTTTTCATTGTTTTTGTCTCTTATTGTTCTTTATTTTTGTTTTCAGGGACAAATCTTTCTAAAAAGGATTGCGGTGAGTTACGGGAAAGATGCTTGTCTTTTCTTTTAGAGCTGCCACAGGTTAAGATGCTTGTTAATTTATTCTTAATTAAATTTATTTATTCTTAGTTTAAATTAATATATTCTTAATTTATATTAATTTATTCTTAATTATATTAATTTATTCTTAATTATATTAATTTATTGTTGGTATTGTAATGTCATCGTTTCGGTGCACTTTTTTTCCCTCCGATTAGTTGTAGGGAGGTTTTTTAACAGGCCCGATTCGATGTTTTGTTTTGTATGTTTTTTCTCTATCTATACAAAACACCCCTTTCAAAAAAAGAATTATATTAATTTATTCTTGAATTAAATTAATTTATTCTTAGTTATATTAATTTATTGTTGGTATTGTAATGTCATCGTTTCGGTGCACTTTTTTTCCTCCAATTAGGTGTAGGGAGGTTTTGTAACGTGGCCCGATTTGATGTTTTGTTTTGTATGGTTTTTCTCTATCTATACAAAACACCCCTTTCATTTTTTCTTAATTTATATTAAGTTATTCATAATTTATGTTAACTTATTCTTAATTTATATTAATATATTAATATAGTTTATAAGTATAATAATATTCATATTTAAATTATAAATGACAAAATATTAAAGATATATTATTTACTCTTTTTTCCTGAATGCAAAGATGTGTCTCCAACTTGTTTTGAAATTAGATACCAGCTGGATCACTTACTCAGGTTTGTTTCCTTTAAATGAGTTTTGTTGTTTTTCTTACCTTGGCTCTGATATTTTGGGATTTGACTTATTGTGCTATCTTCAAATTCCATTTTTCGGCTATTATGAATGGATTTTGGGTTGTGTTATGGATATTGACAAAGCACCGCCGGATGTGTTGTCTATTATATTTACGTTGTTGGAAGGTTCAAGCTTATTCACAACTGGTTCCGGGGAGGTATGAGTCTCTGATCTAAAGTTTCATAATGAAACTAGTGTTCCTGTTTGACCTTGTAGCTCCAAGGATGAAAAGTTATCTTTGATCTTTTATTATTTTAGGTAGTTTGCTTTGATTAACTTGGTCAATTATATAAATGTTAAAAGCTGTTTTCTAATTTTATTTTCATTTCCATGTTGACTTTTATTTTATTTTTTTGCAAACTAATTCCATGCTTTTTCATAATAAAGCTTCCAAGAATTATATCTGAATAAATAAAGATTCAAAAATAACTTTTATATTTGCAGTCTTTCCCAACTTGTAATGTATAAACTATAAAGTATACTTTGCCTACTTGAAAATCTTTTGCATGTGTTGGGGCTGAATTATCACTTATTATGCATTTTTAAGTTCTAATAATTGTGTAACTAGACTAGTTTCATTTTTAAGTTTCACTTTGTACTTGTTTTATTTTTGTGTTTTCACCGTTCGTTTTGCTCTTGAGACTGCCAATGGATGTGATTGTAATATTTACTTTGTCCCGTGGAGTTGTTTTCTTTTATTCTCCTCCTTTCTTTTTTTAATCATCTTGGTTGTTGAAGGCCCAAACCTGAAAGAACATGTCCATGGCATTTAATATGTGTTGAAATAAGGTACTCTTTTCCTCCTTCTGCTAGTTTCTCCTTTCATTTATGAAAGGGACAATTATGAAGGGGGGTTTTAATGAGACCTCCTACTTTTATAAAAAAAAAATGTGTTGAATCAATCTAATGCACTAAACTAATTCATTTCTTGTACCTTACATCAATTGCAAATTGGGAGGTTTCTCACTTTCAGAGATCTTTTGTCGTGGTAGCATTTGATAATGTGTCTAAATTGGGACCTGAGGATTCATTTATTCATGGTGCCTTGTTTTGCTTGATGGTCTAAGTTTAGGTATACTCCTCTAGTATTGAATATTTATTTTAATTCTTTGTTCTTCCTGATGTGAAGAATGTGATGTGGATTTATTGACATTACTGGCACTGACAACTTCCCAGTAAATGCTTTTTTCTATGTAGAATTGTGACTAACCTTCATGATTAATATTGACTTCTCTTAGTGTTTTTTTTCCTGTTCAAAGACATGGTATTTGTTTGCTGATATTTTGTAAGTTGTTTATATAAATATATATCATGTTATAATCTCTTGCGTGTTGCCCATGATCTTTGTCATTGTTTTTGTCTCTTATTGTTCTTTATTTTTGTTTTCAGGGACTGGTCTTTCTAAAGTGGATTGTGGTGAGTTACGGGAAAGATGCTTGTCTTAGAGCTGCTACAGGTAATTGTTTTATTTTTTGGGAAAAATTAAAAAGCATTGTTAATTTTCTTGAATTATTAATTTATTCTTGAATTATATAAATTTATTTAAAATTTTAACACTATGATAAGATAGTATGCCATCTTGTCCTGGTAAAAAAAGAATAGTTTATCCATCTAAATAGTCGGTGGAAAGATGCAACATATTATTGAATATTGAGGGCTAAAAGAAACAATCATTTCTTTCAAAATGTTGAGATGCCAAAACCATTTCAGTTAATTAATAAATTACTTCTTTCATTTTTTTTTTTTATATTTGCCTCCATTGTCTTCACTTCTGAGTGGTCCATTATTGTCCTTCACAAGTATCATGGTGCATGTCTGTACAAGTGTTAATGGATATGAATTTTGCATATATTATTGGAAAGCAATATTTAAGCTATTTAGTTTTAGTTTCCAGGCTGCAGTTTAAAAATTGTCTGAACTGAGTAGTCAATGATATTGTGAAAAACAATCTTTAAGTAAAGCCTTTTTTCTTCTTCCACATCAAATCATTTTTTCGTATGTGGAATGCATCCTGCAATTACATAATGCTGATCTGTCACAGTAGTTTTGTTCCATTCTTATTCTTCTTCTTCTTGAAAAAGAAAGAAAGAAAAGGCAACTACAAGCTATAAGTCTTTGTCTTGTTCCTTTGAGGTAATATTATAACTTTCTTATGTTGCTCTTTGTGTACTTCATGAATAGAACTAATCTCTTAACATAGGCATTAACAGTTTTAGGAACTTGGTTATGAATTTCAGCGAACCAACTCTAATTAATTATTTATCCTTTTTGGCAGGTTTTAGAGTGTCTTAAAGAAAGCTTTGGATTATTTTTGGATATCATGTTCTTTATATCCATTAACTATATCCGAATAAAACAAGCATCTATGAACAACATGTTTTCAAGTATTTAGGTTGTACCACAAGTTACATTTTAATGATTTCCAGGGTGTATTTTAAGTTTAGATTATTAAATTACTTGGATATGTTGTCATTATGTCTTTCCAACTAAAAGAAGGTAAAACGAAGAAAAAGGCTTCTTCAATACACTAATGTTTTTCTTATTCTTGTTACTATGTTATGTGTTGTATGAGGCTAGCAACAGGAATGTCATTCAACCACTAATAGGTTTTTCTATTGACTGTTATCTTGTTTTCTTTTTATGTTTCTTCCCTAGTAATTGTTGTCCAAGAAGGCTGGAGGAGACAATGGTTGAATCTCATCAAACTCATCTCCATCCCTAATGAAGGTGTATGAGGTACTTGGTACAATTCCTTGGGGTTTTACCAATTATGCTAGCTTGGACCTTTTTCTACCATGATTGGATCCATAACTAAAAAATATTTGTACTTAAAAACTTTCTTGACATGCTTTTTCAATCACAGCTAACCTAGAAAATAATGGGCGAAAATGTTATTATGAGGACATATGAAGTGTGAAAATGTTATTATGCTTCATGTGGGAAACTATTTATTTTAATTACAACTCATATAAAGATGTTAAAAAAGATCATGATGTGCAATATATCTGATAATGACCTGGCTTAGTCACTTTATCACGGATATTCATGCATTAATTCATCCTTTTTTTCTCAGATTGTCAGTGACTCACCATGTTAATTACATATTTGACTCGCCTGCCTCGACAAGGCCCTCTTGACTTTTGAATCACATTTAGCAGCTGTCCATATTATAGCCATCTCAGAAACTTCCATGCCAAATCATATTGTTTTTATTTTTTGCATTTCAGTACAAAATGTCTCTTGTTTTCCCTTTTTTATTTTCTAAATTAAATAAACTGATACTGTTATTTTTCATGCTTGTTTGGTTGTCAAAGGGAAGCATGCAGGGCTTTTGGGATCATATGGTGTTCAAATCAATCACTTCCATAATGAATTCTGGTTTGCTAAAGAAGCTTGACTTTGATGATTTGCTTTTGCTGCCGGTTGATATGGATCCTTCTACATGTCATGAAAAATTATAAGGTTGCTGGCAAGATCAGCAAAATAATTCATGCTGAAATGCATCATTATTTAGAGCAATCTTCTATGCTTATAGATGGTCATATCTTCGTCTAGGTTTATTAAAGGTATTCTTACTCTTTAAGACTGCTTGAGATGACATCTGGATGTTCTTTATGCTTCATTGAAAAAAAGTGAAAAAAGAAAATACAAGCTTGTTTGTTTAATATATTGTTTTCCCTGATGCATTATAACATTTGAGAAATTGAGGTGTACCTGTTTATTGGGAATTATGGGGTTCACCTTGCAAAAAAGTAAAAAAAATCCTTAACTGAAGTTTTCAAGTTGCTATATATGAATTTAAGTTTTTACTACTACAAATCAATTTTGTTTTTTTCAGGTTTTAATGATTTCATTGGTTTGCTGGACGATTGCTTCTGAATACGCTAATTCTTCTTGAAAAGATAGCAGTGGCCACCACATCTCTAGTTTTGTTGTAGCAATCTTTTCATTCTGTAACATCTCTCCATGCTTCAGAATGAATTTTTGTTTTTCTGCATTTCACTTAGTAACATTCATAGTTTTGTGCTGTTAACTTAAGACTTTGTTGAGTTGGGTCATGTCATTGTTTTGGTCTTTTGCTGGTTCATGTTCTGTCCGATATGAGATAATAAAGAGAGTTCAACAAAAGGTTTCTTAGTATACTAGGATTATAGGTTCATACCAGTTTCTAATGGAAGAACTGCTGTTTCTGATCGCCTCTCAAGAAAAAGCATCCTTCATTTGCTGGATTTGATTGGACCGAGGGGAGTGAAAGGTAAGGTAAGGAAGATGATACTTTATTGCTAAATTTTTCGACTGTATATAAAGTTAGCTATATAGCAACATTATGAAAGTTAATCTATTTAATGTGGTGCTCAGTGTTTCATACATCAATGATACCATGTTCTGTGAAATGCATATTGCTTTAGATCCGTCGTCGTTCATGATATATGCATATTGGTAATTTGAATATCTCTTGCAAAGTTTATGAATTCAGTTAATCTAAGTTCCGCTCATTCTGTTAAGTTTTACAGTTTTCCTATGAGCATGGAATCTTGACTTTTCCTTGTATTCTGATTGTAACTAACTAGGGTCTGTAATAAATAATTATAATGAAGTTTTAGTTGTAATAAAATCCATGAATTAAGAATATGCTTTCTTTTCTTCTTATTTATGTTAATATTACATTTCATGTAACATCTTTTCTTTCTCTGTCAAAAACAGTTTTGTCTTGAAGAATGATTCCATGCTACTTTTTTCACATTTATGAGAAGGAGTGCCCGAACAAATTGGACAATAAATTCTTCTTATAGAGATTATGCATCAGTTGTTGCTCCGGTTTGAAGTTCAAATCCTTCTTATTTATTATCATGAATCAAACTAAGCAAGTAATATTCTACTTAGCTCCCCTTCCACATTCCCTTCAATGCTGGCTCTCTTTTATTTTTCTTTTTTGATTGGAGTAGCAAAAAGATTGTTTTTTCCTTTTTTTAACTTGAGAAATTTACTAATGTTTCAAAAATCATGTATATATGTATTTATACATGTGTATATATGTAAAATCTAGGTAAATTTTCAGAGATATTCTTCTACATCTTTAGTAGTCATTGGAGCATGTTTATCATGTGTGGATGTCATATTGCTTACGAAGAAAAAGATTCATGGGGATTTTCACTTATACCATGAGTGGCTTTTAAAATTTTCACATTTCATGGCCCGGGTAAGCTTTCCTACGTTTAAGTCATTGACTTTTGACTCAAAACTTTAAGCAGTTTTCTTTCTTTTATGAACTTTGTTCTGGTATCTTAATAATGTTTGTTTGTTTCTAAAATATTTAGGAAATGATCATGTTCTTTTTGAGGTGTATTTGTTTTCAACACATATTGTGCGGTACAGTCCTCGGTGGATGGTGGATTATAAAAACTATGTTTGAAATCCCTCATTTACAAAGAGGCATTCTCTTCAATGGAGGTACTTTGTTTTTCCTTTTAGAGATATTTTCCAATTTATCAAGTGCTTCTCTATAATTTATTGGGTTGTTTACCTTGCTCATCTTTAAGAATTTAATGGTGTGTTAAACATTCCAATTTATGTGCCAAGCATTCTATGTTTTGTTTATGTTGCTCTGTGGACCATGTAATGCATTCAAGTAGGTTTGCAGGCTTGACTTCTCATATCATGATAATATAAAATTTTAACCCTATGAGAAGATAGTATGCCATCTTGTCATGGTAAAAAAGGAATAGTTAAAAGAAGAACACATTATGGATGTTTTTATGGTACAATGCCATAACCATCTAAATAGTCGGAGGAAAGATGCAACACATTATTGAATATTGGGTAAAAGAAACAATCATTTCTTTCAAAATGTTGAGATGCCAAAACCATTTCAGATAATTAACATCTTACTTCTTGCAATTTCATTTTTTTATATTTGCGTCCATTGTCTTCACTTCTGAGTGGTCCATTATTGTCCTTCACAAGTCATTGGTGCATGTCTATTCAAGTGTTAATGGATATGTTTGCATATGTTCTTGGAAAGCAATATTTAAGCCATTTAGTTTCCAGGTTGAAGTTTAAAACTTGTCTGAACCGAGTAGTAAATGATATTGTGAAAACAATCTTTAAGGAAAGCCTTTTCTTCTTCCATTTCAAATCATCTTTTCGTATGTGGAATGCATCTTGCAATTACATAATGCTGATCTGTCACAGTAGTTTATTCCATTCTTATTCTTCTTCTTCTTGAAAAAAGAAGAAAGAAGAGGCAACTACAAGCTAGAAGGCTTTGTCTTCCTTTGAAGTAATATTATCTTTCTTATGTTGCTCTTTGTGTACTTCATGAATAGAACTAATCTCTTAACATAGGCATTAACAATTTTAGTAAGTTGGTAATGAATTTTCAGCGAACCAACTCTAATTAATTATTTATCATTTTTGCAGGTTTTAGAGTGTCTTAAAGAAAGCTCTGCTTTATTTTGGATATGTCTGTATATCCATTAACTTTATCCGAATAAAACAAGCATCTATGAATAGCAGGTATGATTCAAGTATTTAGGTTGTACCACAAGTTACATTTTAATGCTTTCCATGGTGTATTTAAGTTTAGATTAGTAAATTAGTTGGATACGTTGGTTGATATTGTCACTATGTCTTTCCATCTAAAAGAAGGTAAAATGAAGAAAAGGCTTCTTCGATACACTAATGTTTTCTATTCTTGTTACTATGTATGTGTTGTATAAGGCTAGCAACAGGAATGTCATTCAACCACTGTGTATGTATTCTTTTATGTTTCTACCTTAGTAATTGTTGTCCAAGAAGACTAGAGGAGAGACAATAGTTGAATCTCATCAAACCCATCTCCATCCCTAACGAAGGTGTGTGAGGTCCTTGGTACAATTCTTGGGGTTTTACCAGTTATGCTGGCTTGTGTTTGGACCTTTTTCTATCATGGTTGGATCCATACCAAGTAAGATAAAAGTTTTAGGACTAGTCAAATATTTATACTTAAAAACTTTCTTGACATGCTTTTTCAATCAGAGCTAACCTATAAATAATGGGCGATAGATGGTATGTAAAAGATTAATACAACTAAAAACTATATCGAGGATTTGTGAGGAGGACATGAAGTGTGAAATGTTTATTATGCTTCATGTGGGAAACTGTTTATTTTAATTACAACTATATAAAGATGTTAAAAAGGATCACGATGTGCAATATCTGATAATGACCTTGCTCTGTCACTTCATCACGGATATTCATGCATTAGTTATTCATCATTTTTTTCTCAGAATCATGATGTGCAATATATCTGATAATGACCTTGCTCAGTCACTTCATCACAGATATCATGCATTAGTTTATTCATCTTTTTTCTCATTACATGTCAGTGACTCAATTTAATTACATATTGTATAGCTTTCCCATTAGTATTCTTAGCTTATGTTTAAACTTGTTTAATAATAATCAAATTGAAATGGTTTCTCGTCATTGTATGGATATTAGTTACATCTTCTCTTTTTTTCAGATTACATGTTTGTGACTCAACATGGTTAATTACATTTTGCATATCTTATTCTCCAAATTGTAATTAGTAATTCTTAGCTTATCTTTGTAATTAGTAATTCTTAGCGTATCTTTGTAATTAGTATTCTTAGCTTATTTGTAACTTGTAAATGGTAACCAAAACTTATTTTTCCTCGAAGCAGTTTGCCAATGTTCTTATTCATTAGATTTCCCATCTTCGATAATCAACATTTGATAAAGGTTTGATAAAGTTTTCATATCAAAGCCTTATATCTTTACTCTTATGTTATTGAGACTTATTAGCTAAACATTTTCATGCTGAACTTGTAGCCCTCTGGAAGATTCACTTCTTAATTTTGAGATGGACATTGAGGAATGCTATCACACAGACTCTGTAAGAATTCTTTCATCTTAACTTTTCTCGTGCATGCTTCTAGCCTATTTAATGTTTATATGATTTGTATATTTATAGAAATAATTTAAAAACTGTGCTCTAGCAGTGTTTTCCTTATTGTTCTTACACCAAAAGAGTTTGGACCCTCCACAATATTTTATTTTTAGTTGTTTTATTTTTTGTATTTCAGTACAAAATGTGTCTTGTTTTCCTTTTTTTATTTTCTAAATTAAATGATACTATTTTTCATGTTTGCTCGGTTGTCAAAGAGAAGCATGCAGGGCTTTTGGGATTATATGGTGTTCAAATCAATCACTTCCATAATGAATTCTGGTTTGCTAAAGCAGGTTGACTTCGATGATGTGCTGTTTCTGCCAGCTGCTTGATTGAAAAAAAAGTGAAAAGAAAATACAAGCTTGTTTGTTGAATATATCTTTGTGTGTTCCCTAATGCATTAAAATATTGAGAAATTGAGGTATAACTGTTTATTGGGAATTCTGGGGTTCACCTTGCAGAAAAGTAATAATTCTTGACTGAAGTTTTCAAGTTGCTATAATTTGTTTTACTACTACAATATAATTTTGTTTTTTTGCAGGTTTTAATGATTTCATTGGTTTTGCTGGACGACTGTTCTGAATAAGCTAATTCGGTTTCTTCAACAAGGTTTTCATATCTCTAAATCTAAATTCTTGAAAGATAGAAGTGGCCACCACATCTCTAGTTTGTTGTAACAATCTTTTCGTTCTGTAATATCTCTCCATGCTTCAGAATGATTTTGCTTTTTCTGCATTTCACTTAGTACGATGAGTTGGGTCATGTTATGTTTTGGTCTTTTGTTGGTTCATGCTTCTTTCCCATATGAGATGATAAAGATAGTTCGGCAAAAGGTTTCTTAGTATATTAGGATTTAGGTTCCTACCGGTTTCTAAAGGAAGAACTACTATTCTGATCGCCTCTCAAGAAAAAGCATCCTTGTCATTAGCAGGATTTCATTGGACCGAGGGGAGTGAAGGGTAAGGGAAGGGAAGGAGGGAAAATGATACTTTATTGTTAAAATTTTTCGACTGTATACAAAGTTAGCCTATATACCAAAGTTAATCTATTTAGTGTGGTGCTCACTGTTTAATCTATTTAATGTGGTGCTCATTGTTTCATACATCAGTGATACCATGTTTGTTAAATGCATATTTAGATCACAAGTCGGCGTCATGATATATGCATATTCGGTAATTTGAATATCTCTTGCAAAGTTTATGATTTCAGATAATCTATGTTCCGTTCATTCTTTAAGTTTTACAGTTTTCCTATGAACATGGCATCTGACTTTCCTTGTACTCTGATTGAAATCTAGGGTCTGTAATAAATATTATAATGAAGTTTTAGTTGGAATACTTATGATTGACCTTGCTATTTCAACTTCTTTTTCTTTTTCAGGTTCTGGAAATTCGGATGGCTATGTTCTTAAAATATCGTAAGGCCTAGTATCAGTTCTCAAGTGAGCTTTTTTCTCTTTTATAATGATTTTATACGTATCTCTATTATTTTGTCTATGTTTGTGTCTACTGTATTGGTCCGTCAGATTTTGTAACTAAGAAGTGTCCAAAAGTCAAGTTTGTCAAGAAAAGATATGTTAACAGCTTGGGTATATTTAGTTGAGAATATCAAGAAAAGATTTAATTTTTACATGTTATTCCTTCCAAACCATTAGTAAGCAGATAACATGAGGATTGATTTTGTTGTCGCAATAGTTTACTTCTCTTAAGCCTTACTCATATATTCTTAACTACATGCTATTCAAAAATAATAAAAATGTAAAGTTCAATGCAAACCATTAATGGGTTCCTAACCTGCTACACTGGCATGTTATTCAGATTTCTAATAAAATCCATGAATAAGAATTATGTTAACCTTTTTTTCAGTAGACTGTAATGTTGCAAGTGCTGAAGGTACTCCTAATTGCTATAGCATCCATGAAGTTTAGACTTCAGAAGTAATTGTCTAGGATCTAGTTATCTCTTTATTGGTGGTATATGAATTGAATCATTTGTAATTTTTCAACTGAAATTGCAGTCCCATGGGGGAATCTTTGCTGCTGCTTATTTTCACCTCAAAAGCAGAAGAAGCTTCTAAGGAGACCAAATGATAATGGAACAAGTTAGGGATGCACTACATACTGTGTCAAGGCTACCACATTTTCATCTATCAAAGATCTTCAAATATTTCTGGTGCTGATATCAAGTGCATCTTTGTATTTGTTGTTGTTTGATTCATTTGATTTCAAGGTCTCAAGTTTTATGTTTTCCAGGCATTTCTTTAGTGAAGTTTCTTTGGTTTTCACGGTTCTTAAGATGAAATGTATCTACTTTATAAGGCTTAGGCGAGTTTTATTGATTTTCCAGGCATTTCTTTAGTGAAGTTTCTTTTGGTTTTCACGGTTAAGATGAAAATGTATCTACTTTATAAGGCTTAGGCGAACATTATCTGATTTATTGGGTTGAACTTTAGTAGACTTAATGTGTTATATTGCATTGATTAAAGTGGTTTTTATCTCCAAAGGTACAACCGTATTTTCTCATTCTTAAACCATCTAGGCTAAACTTAAATTGTGGTTGATCAAACTATTATAAGACAATAATGTTGGTTCTTGTTTCTTAAATTTTCTGAATAAAAAATTTTGTGCAGAGGCAGCAGGAGCGCAAGCATTCTCACAAATGTCAACGCTCCTCGCACTTATGTAGAAGCAGTAAGTGATATCAGATTTTTTCTTATAGTGAAAGGTATTTCTTTTCAGAGACGTTATTTCCAATTGTGTTTTGCTTGACTTGAGGAATGTAATCGGCTTGATCATCTTCTTTGTCAGGGGAAGCAGTGTTAGAGCTAATGATCACACTTAGGATGGAAGGTAACCCTTCTTAGAGTGAAATGTATTTCTTTTTAGAGACGTTACTCTCAATTGTGTTATGCTTGATGATGCATACTGAAAAATATCTTTTACGATAGGGTTTGCCAACTTCTGTAGCAGTTTGCTCCTAGGGTTTCTTCTCATGCTAGCAATAATAATACTTACCAAGCAGCCATTGATATTAATAATTCAACTTCTCAAAACCATCAAGTGGAGGTCTTTGATGAATTTGTCCCTGCAGTTCCGTTTCAGGTATGAAATTCTATATGAGTTCAATGGTTTTTGTGTTCCAATTCAAGTGTTTTTTCTCTGCAAAGGTACAATTGTATTTTCTCATCTTGCCTTTAATTGTGAGATATTTATTGTTCATGCATTCACTAGTTGACATCCATTTTTCTTCCTTTCTTTAGTAATAAACCTTTTAGAATATTAGCAATGAAATGGAACTCAAATAGAAAAGGTCTATGCTTTATCTAGTTTTTTTATTCAGTTCCATTTATGTACGTTTCTAGATCATGATCAGTGGGATTTGTATGATTACTTTCTTCTGTGTTAACAATTTGTTAAAGATGTTGCTTCTGAGTTTCATTCTTGATATGAGCATTAAATAATGGGGATGTATAAGTCGTGTTCAAGGAATATGGGTGACAAATATGATTATGATTGTTATGAAACATGGATTATGAATGATAAGAAGGTCATGGAAGAGACCATGAGTAAGGCTATAAGATGATGATCGGTATGACAAATATGGGGATTCAAACAATTGTTTGGCAGAGATTATGAAGACCGCTACAGTAGGGATGATGACTACGGAGGAAGAAGTGTTGATGATTATCATACGCACAGGATTTAGGAGCTATGGTAAAGACTGTGCTTTGAGAGGATGGTTCTTCTTGTTGGTATCCACTTATTTACTTTGAGGCCTTTATATGCTATGTTCATTCATGAAACATTAATATTGTTTATTAAATAATGTTGAACATGTCTCAATTTTGTTGAAGTAATAATGAAAAACATTCAAAATGAAGGTGTAAATATATAGTTTCTATTGCACTAGATTAGGATTTTTAAATGTTGAACAGATTTGAAACTTGAGATCCTTGTGAAATTTCGGTTACGATGCTAATACCTTTTTGATATGCTTTACATGGGAATGAATAAGCTTTATCATTTTCTCTTCCAGGGGAAGTAGTGCTAGAGCTAATGATCACTCAGGATGGAGTAACCATGAAATAACTTGATCATCTTCTAATCCAGGCAAAGCTTGATATCTTACACACTTCCCAATAGTGTTTCCAATACTATGTGGGATTGAGCATTACTCAACACTTCAAAGAAAATATAGCAATTTTTGTAGCATGTTCCCGCTTAATCCATATTTAAAAATATTAAAACATTTTCATTTAAACTATATGTAAGTTTGAATTGAAATAGATATCTACAACTCTTTTAATTCTCTTGATAAAATGTTTTAATATTTTTAGATATGGATTAAGTGGGAAAATACTACAAAAATTGCTATATTTTCTTTGAAGTGTTGAGTAATGCTCAATCCCACATAGTATTGGAAACACTATTGGGAAGTGTATTTAAGGCTTGGATTTCCCATTTCCTTGTTGAGTGAAAGAGAACAAGGGGGACTCTCGCGCGCCGCCGCCGCCGCCGTCTCGGGTCGGGTCGGGTCGGGTCGGGTCGTGGTCGTGGTCGTGGTCGTGGTCGTGGTCGTGGTAATACGTGTCTTCGACACGTCCGCGCGGATACTATCTTTTTAGAGAAAATTCTTAAGAAAGAAACAAATGCAACAACTTTTGAAAGAATTTACTCATTTTCTGAATCGCGTTGCGATTCTTGGAATCGCGTTGCGATTTTCTTAATCGCGTTGCGATTCTTGGAAGATCGCGTTGCGATTTTCTGAATCGCGTTGCGATTCTTGGAAGATCGCGTTGCGATTCTTGGAATCGCGTTGCGATTTTCTTAATCGCGTTGCGATTCTTGGAAGATCGCGTTGCGATTTTCTGAATCGCGTTGCGATTTTCTGAATCGCGTTGCGATTTTCTGAATCGCGTTGCGATTCTTGGAAGATCGCGTTGCGATTTTTGGAAGATCGCGTTGCGATTTTATGAATCGCATTGCGATTCTTGGAAGATCGCGTTGCGATTTTCTTTTCAACGTTGCGCTTTTCTAAATCGCGTTGCGGTTTTGATATCGCGTTGCGATTTGTTGGTCATTTTGGCAAATCAAAAAAAAGTTGGTTAAAATCGTATATTATAAGGCATTTTTGGTCACTGAGGCGATTTTCTCTAATGAAAAACATTCAAAATGAAGGTGTAAATATTAATAGTTTCTATTGCACTAGATTAGGATTTTTAAATGTTGAATTACTTGGTAACTTTCTATGGAATTTCTCTATCCAAATGTGCTTTTGAGTTTCATTTCACCATATAACATTCCAGATTTGAAACTTGAGATCCTTGTGAAATTTCGGTTACGATGCTAATACCTTTTGATATGCTTTACATGGGGAATGAAATAAGCTTTATCATTTCTCTTCCAGGGGAAGTGCTAGAGCTAATGATCACTCTCAGGATGGAAGGTAACCATGAAATAAGCTTGATCATCTTCTAATCCAGGCAAAGCTTGATATGCTTTACAAGTGTTGAAATTTAAAGCCTAGACTTGTTGCATCCCACCTCTTAAGTGTGTATTCTTAACCATAGGCTAAACTTCAATTGTAGTTGATCAATATTTTATTAGACAATAATTGTTGGTTTCTTGTTTCTTGAATTTTCTGAAGGAAAAAAATATCTTTTTTGCAGGCAGCATGAGCGCAAGCATTCTCACCAAAATGTCGGTGCTCATCGCAGTTATGTAAAAGCAATAAGTGAGATTCAAATTCCTTATAGTGAAAGGTATTTCTTTTCAGAGACGTGTTACTTTTAATTGTGTTTTGCTTGACATGGGGAATCTAATTAGCTTGATCATCTTCTATGTCAGGGAAGCAGCAATAGAGCTAATGATCACTCTCAGGATGGAAGGTAACCATGAAAGAAGCTTGATCATTTTCTCTTCAAGGGGAAGCTTGATATGCTTTACAAGTGTTGAAATTTAAAGTCTAGACTTGTTGCATCCCACCTCTTAAGTGTATTCTTAAACCATCTGGGCTAAACTTCAATTGTAGTTGATCAATCTTTTATTAGACAATAATTGTTGGTTTCTTGTTTCTTGAATTTTCTGAAGGAAAAAAAAGTCTTTTGAGCAGGCATGAGCAGGCATTCTCACCAAAATGTCGGTGCTTTTGCAGTTATGTAGAAGCAGTAATTGAGATTCAGATTCCTTCTTATAGTGAAAGGTATTTCTTTTCAAAGACATGTTACTTTCAATTGTGTTTTGCTTGACATGGGGAATCTAATTAGCTTGATGATCTTCTCTGTCAGGGGAAGCGGTGCTAGAGCTAATGATCACTCTCAGGATGGAAGGTAACCCTTCTTATAGAGAAAGGTATCTCTTTATTGACATTACTTTCAATTGTGTTTTGCTTGATGGTGCATACTGAAAAATATCTTTTATGATAGGATTTGCCAAACTTCTGTAGCAGTTGCTCCCGGGGTTTCTCCTCATGCTAGCGATAATAATCATAACCAAGTAGCCCTTGATCTTAATAATTCAGCTTCTCGAAACCATCAAGTGGAGGTCTTTCATGAATTTGATCTATGTGGTTCAGTTTCAGGTATGAAATTCTATATGAATTCAATGTTCCAATTCTATTACCTAGATGGTTATATCCACTACTCCTGAAATAGTTAGCAATGAGTGAGAGAGTCTTAGGAGGTCCGCACTCTGGCGAGGAGTGGACGGTGTTTGTTGATTATCTTAGCAAAAGAGTCACTTGGAGATCATTAAAGGAAATTTTTAGTCACCATGGGAGTGTTTTGAGAGTTTATATCCCGAATAGTTCTAACAAACCAAATTATAGAGATCATTCGTTTGCGTTTGTTCAGTTTGCGAAGGAAAAAGAAATGCTGGAGGCGATAGAGAAGGTCAATGGTACTTGGATTGACAGGAAGAGAGTTTCGGTATGTGTAGCTAAATATCGGAGGCAGAGGACCTTGCAAGTTGGTGGAAGTAAGTCCAGAAAAGATGAAGATAAGTCGACTAAGGGTGCGAAACAGAGGAGTAGAGCGGGATCTGAGTCTTTTAGTCGGTTTAGGGATGAGAGGTCATATATGGTTGCTTTAACCTCGTCTGATGGGATGAGGAAAGTCCCGGTTGATGAAAGGGTAGGGAGGGTCACCCTTGTAAAGATAATGGAATTAGAAATCTTGGGAGATGCAAATTCCCTCTGATGAAAGGGATTGGGTGAAGAGAGCATTGACAGGGATTATCAAACCTCACTTTGATCTGGAACTAGTGCTGAAGGGATTGGCAAGTGATGGGTTCAAGGTTAAAGGAGCTAGTTGGGGTTATGCGTGGAACTCTTGCATATTAACCTTGATTCGGAGGAAGATTTTAAGGAGGTGTGGTCGAGCAGATTAGTGGAATTGTCCTTCTGGTTGATTGGATTGATATCCTTCTGAATGATGACGGTACCGATGGCTTTCTGTTCAGTAGAGTTAATTGGTATCCCGTATTATGCTGGAATGTCCTCTTTATGGAGAAACTTGTCTCAAAGTTGGGGAAGCTAGTCTGTATCCACGATTCGACGGTGAAAAGAGGGACATGGCGGTGGCCAGGCCTTACTGAGGGTGGCCAGTCCCTATGATGTTCAGGAGTCTGTTACGCTGGGCTCGTATGGGAGATCTTTTAAAGTTAAAATTAACGTGGGGTCGGTCTTATTAAACAGGAAAGTTTTTTGGTAGGAAATTCAATGGTTGCCGGAGAGGATAGGTTCAGAGATGATGAATTTTCAGAGGATGAAGAAGAACAGTGCGCTGTTGGGGGTGGTAGACCAGACCTGCCAGTTGAGGATACTAGGGACAGAGTAGACAGATGGTTAGTAGGGGATGGAAGTTCAGCTTTAGTTGGCGATGAAGCAGGTCAGAATTTACTGTGGAAGGAGGGAGAAGGTCAATCTAGTGGAGTAAGGTGTCAGACTTTCCAGCAGAGGATTTGAATTTGAGAGGGAATTATCAGGGTATTGGGATTAGGAATATTTTTTCTAATGAAAATGATAAGCCCAATCAGAGGACTTGAGTGAGCCCATTAGACTTTCTACGGCTGGTCCAGTTGTTATTTTAAAGCAGCTGGGCTGTGGTAATCTAATAGAATCTGGGGTGGTGGAACTTGGAGACTTACAGCAAAAGGAGATGGATTACTCAAATAGGCAGGGTCGGGATAGAGCTACGCCGCTTTGCGTACCATTTTTGCTTAAGGATGGTACGAAAGTCAGTTTACAGAATATTGTTTTAATGAGGTCTGATGGAGGAAAGAGTAATTCGGGATAAAGGAGAGGGTAATGCGGACAGAACAGAGGTGGAAAGGGTTGAGAATCCAGTTATACTAACTGGTTTCCAGGGGCGGATTATAAAGAAAAGAAGTTAAGGATTGCTCCAACGAGGTCTGATAGTTCTGGTTGGAGGGTGAAGTGTCATTTAGTTTTCATGATCGAGTTTATGAAAGACTGGATAGAGGTCTGGATAGGGAAAGTTTGGATCGAAACCAGTGTTAATTCAGCGCCCCCAAACAAATGTATTGAAGCAAGACTGGAGGCTGCTGCTTCTAGAGATGTTTGTGATATGTTGGGGATCTCTTTCAAATGGGGTAATCAAATTCTGGAAAAGGAGATCTTGAAGATGGAGCTTAGTGAGAATAGTAGAAGCTTGACTGATTTTTTTCAAGATAGTAAAGGTTGTTGCTTTTATTAATTATGTCACAAATCAATTGATTTCATGGAATGTGAGAGGGCTTGGAAAAAAGGAAAAATCAAGAGCTGTTGCTAGATTAGTTTTCAAAAATCAAACCGATGATTCTGTTTCTCCAGGAAACTAAGTTGAACAAATGTCGAAAGGGATTGTTGAGGAAAAAGGGGGAAATTTCCTAAAAGGGTCTAGCTTTCAGCCATCTACTGGTTCTGCAGGGGGTCTAATCTGTCTGTGGAACGAAAATCTGTTTGAAGTGAGCAGGGAGTTTAAGCATAATAGGTTCCTTGCTTTATCAGGAAAGGTTAAGACTGTTAACTTTGATTGTGGGTTATAATGTGTATGGGCCGTCGGTTGAGTCTGATAAGAGGAGTTTTTAAGTGAGCTAATGTTTTTTACACAACAGCTTGATTTGCCTGTATGCTTAGGGGATTTCAATGCTTATATAGATCCGAGGAGAAATTGGAGTCCAACAGAATTGGCATTCTATGGAGGTATTTTCCAACTTTGTATTTAATCTTAACCTTATGGATCTTCCTTTAGTTGGAGGGAGATTTACTTGGTGCAACAATAGAGAAGCTTCAACGTGGATTAGATTAGATCGGTTTCTATTAAGTGGTGATTTTTTCCAGATATTTCCAAAAGTTATCCAGAAATTGTTGCCGAAATCCTTATCTGATCATAAACCCTATAATGCTGGAAGATGACCACAACAATTGGGGCCCTAAACCTTTCCGGTTTTTTAACTATTTACTAGAGGATGAAGGGTTTGATGGGTTGGTTCATGATGCTGTGGGTGATTTAAAGAGGGAGAATGCAAGAAGGGGTATGTTGAGTATTCTTCATGGAACGAAGAAAGCCATTAAGAAGTGGCCATACAACAATAATATGGGATGTAGAAAAGATTTCAGAGCTCGAAAATAGGATAAACGACTTGGAATTAAAGTCTCAGGGTCGGGGAATTTCAACACAAGAATGGGGGCAACTAGTAGCTTGGAGGAATGAATTGTGGGGTCTGCATAGGAAGGAGGAGAGTATTTGGTTCCAAAAATCACGTAATAAATGGATCAAGGATGGGGATAGAATACCAGATTTATCACATTTGCGCTCTGAATAGGAGCAGAATGAATGCTATTTCGTCTTTGAAAGTGGCTGGGATTGATATTTCTGATCCCAACATGATTAAATCGGCTATTTTTGATTACTTTAAAGTAAATACAATGAGATATCATCTCTGGAGGTGGAGGAATGTAATCTGAATTTTGCCAAATTGACCGTGGAACAAAAGGCTGGATTAGAGGTTAGTATCACTGAACAGAAGTGTGGGATGCTGTTTTTAAGGCGGACAGTGCTAAGGCACCTGGTCCGGATGGATTTACTATGGGTTTCTTTAAAAAATACTGGACTATATTGAAAGACCTTGTCATGCAGTTTGTTCAAGATTTTCAAAGAGGGAAATTATGGGAAAAGGGAGTGAATCATTCCTTCATTACGTTAATTCCAAAGAAGGTTAACCCACAGGGAATTGAAGATTTCAGACCCATTAGTCTCGTTGGCAGTCTCTACAAGATTATTTCTAAAATACTCTCGAAAAGACTAGTCTCTGTTATTCAAGGTTTGGTTAGCCCTTCACAATTCTCATTTATTCCGGGTAGGCAGTTGCTAGATTGTGCACTTTTGGCAAATGAAGGAATCGAATATTGGAGAAAACAAGGGAGGAAAGGAATTGTCTTTAAAGCTGACTTCCGTAGGGCCTATGATTCGGTTGAGTGGCCTATCTTATTCAGGATATTGAAGGACATGGGTTTTGGGGATAAATGGATCTCATGGATTAAATGTTGTGTTTCAACGGCATCTATTTCGGTGTTAGTTAATGGTTCCCCTACCGAGGAATTCAATTTAGTAAGGGTTGAGACAAGGGGCAGCCTTTCCCCTCTCCTATTCAATTTAGTGGGGGAATTATTAAATCTTATGTTGATTAAGGCAGTTGATAAAGGGCTTTCAAGGGTTTAGCATTGGTAGGATTGGCAATTCCTTCCAGTGACTCATCTGCAGTTTGCTGATGATTTAATCCTCTTCTGCAGCGATTCAACAATGCAATTTCTAAACTTGAGAAGAGTGTTGAGGGTCTTCGGTGTGATGTCTGGGGTGCATTAAATCTGTCAAAGTGTACTGTATTTGGGTTAATATGGATGCTGATAGGGTTCAGGATTGTGCTAGGAAAGCAAGATGTGGAGTGGGGTATTTCCAATGTCTATCTTGGTTTACCGATTGGATCTAGGAAAAATTCAGTGGGTATGTGGGAACCGGTTGTCCAGAATTTTAATAAGAAGTTAGCTGGGTGGAAAGTAATTCACTGTCGTTGGCGGGCAGACTTGTTTTGGTTAAATCGGTGCTTTCATCTTTGCCAATTTTTTACCTATCGATTTTCAAGATTCCACACAAAGTGGCTCAGAAGTTGAACTCGCTGATGGCCAACTTCCTTTGGGGATATGATCTTGAGAAAAAACGAATCCACTGGGTGAATTGGAAGTCGGTTGTCAACCAATCGAAGAGGGTGGTCTGGGTAACTGGATTTTAAGGGTGATTAATAGGGTCCTTCTAGGGAAATGGGTTTGGAAATTTGCTAATGAAAAATATAGTCAGTGGAAGAACTGATTTGCAGCAAATCCAACGTTAGCACTTTGTCTCTCAATTTCAGATGCGTCTACACCTTTGATTCCTGGATATGGAGAGGTATTCTCAGTAACTATAATAAGAATGATAAGATTGGTGGATTTTGAGAAATAATTCAAGGTCATTGTAGGGATGGGCGGTCGATTGCTTTTTGGAATGATATTTGGATTACTAATCTGCCTTTAAAAAGACAATTCCCAAGAATTAGCTTTGTCGACAAACAAATGGGGGATGATCTCTGAGTTTGGTGAGTATGAAGATGAGGTTTGGGGTGGAATATACAACTAGAAGAATGTTGTGTGATTGGGAATGGACCAGTGGATTGCATTTATGTCTTTGATTGACAAGTCGTCGCTGTCACGATGTGTGGATGATTTTTGGGCTGGTCAGGAAAGGGGGATGGCACTTTCTCGGTCAAATCTTGTCGATATCGTTACAAGATAGGTCGGAAGGGAGTTTTGTATGGAAGAAGTGGGTTGGGATGGATTGGCGCCTCCAAGAGTTCAAACTTTATTATGGCAGATCTGTCATCAAAAGTGGCAGTGAGAGTGGAATTGAAGAGAAGAGGACTTCAGATTCGGATGTTCTTTGTCCTATGTGTCATGATCAGGATGAAACTGTTGCACACCTGTTCCTAACGTGCCCTATTGCCTCGGAATTGTGGAGTAAATTTCTAAGGTTATGGAATATCTCTACGGTGATGCCTCAAGACCCTTCTTCAATTTTGTGTTCGTGGTCGAACCTTAGGAATAATTCCCTATTTGGAGGTTTATTCGTCTGTCATATTTGGTCTATTGGAAGGCCAGAAATGAGGTTGTATTTGAAAATGGCATATGTGACTCTACTGTTCTGTTTCTTCATTACTAGATTTAGATGGCTAAAGGTTCTTGGCTAAATACCCGGGGGTTCGGATTGACAGACCTCTAGTAGGGATCCTACGCGGCGGATTATTACCCTCTAATTCGAGTTCTAAGAAGATTAGTGCTGGACTCCTCCTCCATCTGATATGTTCAAACTCATGTCGACGGGCAGTGACTGGAGATGGGATGCAGGGTGGTATTGGTGGGGTTTTGAGAGACTCCTGCAGCTGCACTTTAGCTAATTTTCTTCCGCAGTGGGCCCTGGTCCCCCTATTCTATCTGAACTGAAAGCGATTAAGAAAGGATTGCTCTTCTGGAAATAGGAGTTCTTGTTTCTACAAAGGGTGTTGTTCTGAGATGGGTTTCTAGGAGTTGAATATGAGGCAGATAGGTTAGCTAAGCAGGGAATCGGATGAGTGTTGAAGGCTTAGTGTTGTTCGTTACGATATGTGGTGTGGGGTTAGGCTGATGGGTGTTTTTTTTTCTCATCGCTTTTTGTATTATGGTCATGGTGTATTTTCGAGGGTTAGAGTGTTATGTTTATCCTGTGTTTCTCAGGACCAGGATGTTTTGTGTATCTTATGTAATTCTGGTTTTTCAATAAAATGAGGTGCTCTTTTCCTCCCTCAATCAGTTTACATCAAATGTAAACTATGAGGGAGGTTCCTAAGGAGTCCTACTATTCCTATCAAAAAAAAATTACCTAGATGGTCATAGTCATCTTCAATTATGAAACATAGTTTATGTTATGTTCTTTTTTCTTGACATATAGCCCTGAAAATGTAATTTTCCGAGTTGTCCAAATATTAGGTTTGACATGCGCTGTTGTCTCAATTTCCATTTTATTATTTTTTAATTTATCTTTTATGTGGTAGGTTTTAGTGTACTTTCTATCTTTGAATTACATGATTCTTACCAAATTGTTAGTCATTTAAATAGGAATATTACATTTTGGGGGCATAAACCTTTTACTGTTAGTTACATACTAGTGACAATTTTATATTAAAACCTGAAAGACTATTTTGCTGACTTATTTCAATTTTGATTTTAAATTGAAATATAAAATCCTTTAACCTGTTTTGGATTGTCTTTAAGTATGCAGAGTATTTCTTTCTCGATTTACTATTTTTGAATATTTAATTTCTTCTATGTAGTCTTTTTGTTTTTTTATAACATTTAAGGGAAGACATAATTCATTTGAAAGCCTTCTATTTTTGAATGCTTATTGTCTTCAAATTTTTTTTGTTCAATTTGATTTTGGAAATCAAATGTTTATTTTTTGCATAATGATTACAGACATGATCTGTTTTTAATTCCGAAAGATTAGAAGCCTATGGATCATCTTGAGGGAGATAATGGTTTAGATGGTGGTAAAAGTTTTCCTCTGTCTACAACAAGTATATTGAATATGGTTTGCGGTTATGTGATAATTGTTCTTCTGACAGGTATGGACCCTTTGGTCTGCTAACCTTGATTTTCATGGATGCGCTGTTGCTTCAAATTCCATTTTATTATTTTTTAATTTATCTTTTATGTGGTTGGTTGTAGTGTACTTTCTATCTTTGAATTACATGTTTCTTACCAAATTGTTAGTCATTTAAATAGGAATATTACATTTTGGGGCATAAACCTTTTACTGTTAGTTACATACTAGTGACAATTTTATATTAAAACCTGAAAGACTATTTTGCTGACTTATTTCAATTTTGATTTTAAATTGAAATATAAAATCCTTGAACCTGTTTTGGATTGTCTTTAAGTATGCAGAGTATTTCTTTCTCGATTTACTATTTTTGAATATTTAATTTCTTCTCTGTAGTCTTTATGTTTTTTTATAACATTTAATGGAAGACATAATTCATCTGAAAGCCCTTCTATTTTTGAATGCTTATTGTATTCATATTTATTTTTGTTCAATTTGATTTTGGAAATTCAAATGTTAATTTTTTGCATAATGATTGCTGACATGATCTGTTTTTAATTCCGTAAGATTAGAAACTTATTGTCTATGGATCATCTTGAGAGAGATAATGGTTTAGATGGTAAAAGTTTTCCTCTGTCTACAACAAGTATATCGAATATGGTTTGAGGTTTTGTTGATAATTGTTCTTCTAACAGGTATGGACTCTTTGGTCTGTTAGCCTTGATTTTCATGGTTCTTAAGATGAAATGTATTTGCTTTATAAGGTTTAGATGAAACATTCTGTTATATAGGGTTGAACTTTAGTATACTTGAAGTGTTATGTTGTATATGTTGTTCACATAACAGTGAAAGACACGTTTATGCTACTCATTTACATTTTGATGTCACATTAATTTGTCCATGAATTTTTTTTGAGATTGATTAAAATGGTTTTTTTATCCAAAGGTGCAGCTGTATTTTCTCATCCATACCTTTAATTGTAAGATATTCATTGTTCATGCATTCACCAATTGACATCCATTTTTTTCTTTCTTTCTTGAGTAATAAAACTTTGAGAATATTAGCATATAAATGGAACTCAAATAGAAAAGCTCCATGCTTAATATAGTTCTTTTTTATTTATTTCCATTTATGTACATTCTAGTTACATTTCTTGATCATGATCAGTGGGATCTGTATGATTACATTCCTTCTCCTGTAAACAGCTTGTTAAAGATATTGCTTTGGAGTTTAATTCTTGATATGAGAATATTAATTAGTGGGGATGTTGTGTTCTTCCATAATATTTTCTTGTTTGTTCTACAGGTTTCAAAAGACATCAACAGGTGGAATGTATAGGAAAGATTAATGAGGATATAACTACAAATATGATTATAATCATTATGGAAACAGGGATTATGATGATCAGATTGGTCATGGAAGAGACCTTGAGTACGGATATAGAGATGATGGTCAGTGGGAATTCAAACATTTGTGTTACTTTCATTGTGTTTTGCTTGACATGATCATCTTCTCTGTTAGAGGAAGTGGTGCTGGAGCTGATGATCACTATCGGGATGAAGGTAACCCTAACCCTTCTTATAGTGAAAAGTATTTCTTTTCAAATACATGTCACTTTCAATTGTGTTTTGCTTGATACACACTGAAAAATATATTTTATGATAGGTTTGACCAACTTCTGTAACAGTTGCTCTTGGGGGTTCTCCTCCTGCTAGTAATAATAATCCTTACCAAGTAGCCCTTGATCTTAATAATCCAGCTTCTCGAAATCATCAAGTGAAGGTCTTTGATGAATTTGATCCATTTGGTTCAGTTTCAGGTATGAAATTCTATATGATTTTAATGGTTTATATTGTAAAGTTTAAACCAAGAAAACAAGCTTGAAAGAAAAAAGGAGAGGAGCAGAAAATCAAAGGAGAAAAGAATGCATATTGTCTAAACAAAGATGGAGAGGTTTGGACTACTCTCGTCATTCTAACAATTTCATTTAAAAGGATTACAAAACACAATAATTTGAAATGCACACCTGTCAAACATTAGTGTAAAATAAACACTCAACTTAAAACAGACTAAAAAACAACAAAAAAAACATTACACCTGATATACATGACAAAATCGTTTGCAACCTAAATTCTCAACTGCAACATACTATCTGATTTCTAGTTTAAGGTTCTAGGTTGCAACATAATATTTGATTTTCAGTATCAAACTCAAAACATCAACACTCCAACTTGAGGTTGATATTGGTCATATCAAGCTCATGTCTGAGAAAAGAAATTCTATTCCTTTTTTTATAAGAGTAGGCCTCGTTAAAACCCCCTTCATGATTAAAGGAACGCCTACTGGAATTCCTTAATCAGCGGAAGAAGGAAAAGAGTACCTCAAATATTGTTGATAAAAAAGTATTACAAAGAGAAGACTACTTCCAATAACAACCCCTTTCAACTGAAAGCCCAAAAAACAAAAGGAAGAACACCCAAGCTGAAACTCCCAAACTTAACCAATACCAGATTTAGCTAAACCATCAGCCTCTATATTAGCTGCCCTAGTTACAACGAATAACCTTGCTGAACTCTTAACCTTTCAACAATATCCTTAACAATAGTAACAAACACCTCTGGACATTTATCTAGATTCTTAACCCACTCCACAGACAACTTGCTATCACTTTCAATAATTAAACGTTTCTTAAAACTCCATCAAAAGGAATTAAAGAAGATTAAACCCTGCTTGATTGCCTTGAGCTCCAACAAGGTAAGTGGACCTGGACCATCAGCTTCTTGGAAAGAACCAGGCATCGAACCAACTTCATCTCTCAAAATCCCGCCCAGTCCACTAGTCTTCCAATCAGCACTGACGGCTGCATCCACATTCAGCTTAGAAACCTTTGGGAGGAGGGGACTAAGGAATCTGTTCAACTAACAGATTTTTAGAATTCGAGCAGATATCCCCTAGAGAAAGATCACTAATGAGGTCTTTGGAAATGGAAACATCATTAGTCTTTGCTAAGAACCAAGAAACAAGCCTGAACCTAGCAGTAAAAAATAATTTATTCTGATCTAACATCCCCCCCATAAAAACAATAGCATTTCTAAATTTCCAAATTATCTAAAGAATATTCCTAAGCTAAAAGAAACAATTTAGCATTTTCGTGAAAAACCGAAGAAATATCCATAGATTGAGGAACCGATTCCACGAAACTGGACAGGAGAAGAAAACGTGTGCGGAAGATTCCAACTCTTGCTTACGTAATGGACAAGACATCCACTATTCCTTGAACCCCTCTTTGATAATTCTGCCTTTACAGCTAATTTTTATGAACAACTGTCACGAAAAAGTCTCCACCCTAGGAGGCACCAGCCCCCTTCAAAGGATACTCTTCCAAAGGGGATCTGCTTCCGAGCTAAAAGAACACTACTTCACAAGAGCTGCCAGTATAAAAACCCTCCCCATTACCTTTCCAAAACAAACCATCTCTCGAAACTTTCGAAAGACTAGTTCTATTAATGATTGATAACAATTCTGTCCACTGATCCAATTCACAATCGCTTAATTTTCTTCTCATCTCTATATTATAAACCCAACCTTCATTTCGAATTTTGCCAAATTCTATTAACTTACAATTTTAATTTGTTGAAAGGACAAAAAGTCTAGGGAATGCATCTTTGAGAGTAGATTCCAACTCCCATATGTCTTGCCAAAACCGAATGAAAATGTACATAAACAAGCTGCGAAACTTGGACCGAAAAGAATCTTCTTTAAAATGATTTTCACCATCGATTTCCGAAGTCAAGAAGCTTGTGTCGGAATCTTACTGTTGAACAACAATAAATTCTTGTCAATATTGTACTTATTGCAAATCATCTTCCTCCAATTGGATTCTTTATCATTAGAGAACCTCCAAGACCATTTTCTAAGAAGAGCTCTATTCATAAAATTGAGTTCCAACACACCGAGACCCCATTCTCTTTGGCTTTGCACACTGTCAACCAATTAACCCAATGAATCTTATTTTTTCTATTCACCCTCCATAAGAATCTAGCCATGATGGAATTGACCTTTTTATTCACAGAATAAGGCATCTTGAATAAGGATAAATAATAAGAAGCTTGTCTAGTGGGGTGGTGCGTGGACTTTGTCAAAATTGGTCATCTCGCCAGACAAATGCAAACGAAGGGCCTCACTGGCTTCACCTTAATGAGAGCTGCAGGTAATGCGATTTTAATGATTTTCGAAGACAATGCTTCCTTGAGAAGTGTGAAGAACGATAAATCAAAGATTCTCGCAGAGTGGTTCTCCATAGTTGAAGCTTGGTCAGAGAGTTTGGTAATGGAGTGTCGTCGAGTATGGTTAGTTTGCGAGGGTGTTCATTTTCACACATGGAATTGAGATACTTTCAAGAACATTGTTGATAAGTGGGGTTTATTACTAGCTATCGACGAAAGTTGTCAGTCTCCATCATCCTTTGATCGGGCAAAAATTCAAGTCCTTACAAAGGTTGATGCGAGAATTGATGCGATGGTGGAATTGAAGGTTGGTGACAACTTCTTCAAGGTCATGGTGCATGAGATAGAGCCTTCATTCAAACCAAACTTGGGCTCTGAAGAAGAAGAGTCTCATTAGATCTTGTCTCTTCAATTGTGGTTGTTTTAGTCTATATGGTTGTAGGTGTTGCTTTAATTTGTATTATGTTCTGTTGCGCTGTTTTATTCCTACTGTTGGTGTGTAATTAGAAGTAAGGTGTTTAGACTGTGGCTTTGGATGAGGTTATATGAGGTTAAAGTGTTTGTTGTAATTGTGTACATCCATGAGAGGATATTCCGTGGTGTCTTTTGTATCGAGTTTTATCAATAAAATTTGAGGTACTCTTTTCTTCCTTCCAATATTCGTTAACATACATTTAGTATGTGAACGAATACGAAGGGAGTTTTAATGAGACATCCAACTTCTATAAAAAAAAGGATAAATAATAAGAAGGAAGAGAACAAAAGAATCGCCTTTAACAAGACCAATTTCCCTTCCAAAAAGAGTTGTGGCCTTATAACCTGAAAGTTCTTGTAAAAATTTTGAAGAACCAGATCCTATAAGGCAGCAAAATTTATGATAGCACCAAGAGGCAGCACAAGATAATCTGAAGGGAATATTCCAACTGTGCAACCAATGACACTTGCTCATTCCTTCACCTCCTCTTCACTTGTGTTAATGCCAAATAATTGCTTTTGTTAAGATTCAATTGAAGACCGGACATAACTTCAAAGACTCTTAGAACTCTCTTAACATTAAGAATCTGCATCTTCGAGGCCTTACAAAAAATAATTAGATCGTCTACGAATTGCAAATGCAATAAATTGAAAGAACGTTCTTGCTTTTGATCACCAAACCATCAAATAAGCCCAAGGAAATCGTTTTAAGTAACAATAAGTTGAGAAGTTCCCCAATCAAATTAAACAACGGAAAAAAGGAGCAACATTGTCTAAGCCCTTTGTCATTGGGAATTCCTCAGTAGGCACCCATTAACCAAAACTGACACCGAGACATTAGTAACTCATTTTCTAATCCAATTACATCTTTTGTCCCCGAAACCCATCTTCTTCACACCTTAAAAAGAATTGGCCAATCCACTGTGTCATAAGCCTTTCTAAAATCCACCTTGAAAAACAACCTTTTAGACCTTTTTTCCTCCAGTAGTCAATTCCTTCATGGCGATAAAAGAGCAATCAAGGATTTGTCGACCAGGGATGAAAGCAAATTGTGAAGAACTGATGATCCTTAATGCAACATCTCAATCTCCTCGAAAGACACTTGGAAAGAATCTTATACATCCCTCCAACAAAGCTGATAGGCCTATAGTCATCTAAGCCACCAATGTTGGAACCCTTAGGGATGAGTGTAATGAAGGTATGATTGATCCCAAGCTCTCAATTTTCCAACGAAAAAGTTGTGGAAAAATCTCAAATATCTTCTTTTAAAAAGGACCAAAACCTCTTGAAAAAACCCATATTATACCCGTCCGACCCTGGAGCTTTTGCTATCGCACGAGTTTAAGGCATCCCAAATTTCTCCTCCGAAAATCATTTTCTAGAAGAAGACATTGTTCCAAGGAAATACTAGCAAAATTCAGCCTCACATCTTCCAGTTCCAAGGTAGATCGATTGTAAATTTCGAAAAATGATATCGGACACTTACCTTAATGAGAGCCGAATCCTTGATGATGGTTCTTTAATATTCAGAACATTCAAGGAATTCAACCTCTTCCTTATGGAAGCACAAGTATTGAAGAATCTTGAATTACGATCTCCGTCTTTCGCCTATTTCACTCTCGATTTTTGGAACCAAATCTGTTCCTCGATTTATATATCCCCTAGATCATTTCTCAGCGAAACCAGATCTACAACAATCCCATTCGAATTATGATTCTGCTGTAGCTTCTTTTCTAAATTGTGATTTTTCCTTCAAAACCTCAATGATTGATGCACTAGGACATTGACCCCTCGAACCAGACAAGTCTTTAATGGCATATTTCATGCTTATCAGAATACTTAAAATTCCAGCTCTATTTTGATTTTTCTTAAACTCTTTGATGGAAGAAACGACCAGCTTCTCAAAACCAACCTCTTCCATTAGATAATTGAACAACTTGAAAGGTCTTTTGCCTCAACTTGCTCCTCCATTTTCAAGAATGAATGATGGCATTATGGTCTTAAACCGACTTGGGAAGAAGAAATTGATTGATCTCAGGAAAGGTTGTCATGAAATTAAAATCCACCAAGAACCTGTCAAGTCTAATGAAAGTTGGATAATCCTGATTATTGCACCAAGTGAACATTCCTCCAGATAAAGGTAAATCAATTAATCCAGTTTGAAGAATAAAAAGCCTAAAAATCTCTATGAAATTCATGTTCTGGGATCTACCTTTCTCTTCATCAAATAAGTATACGTTGAAATCCCCTCCCATACATAAGGGGTACTGTGACTAGCCAGAAACAAACAAAGTTCCTCAAGAGTTAGCTTTCTCATCCTCTATGGAAGGCCCATACACGTTAATGAAACCACATCTAAAATTATTAATTCTAAACTTCCCAAAGATGGCTATGAACCTTTTGTTAACAAAATGATCTTCCACTTTGAAAATATTATCATCCCAACAACTTACAAGACCTCCTTAGGAGCCTTCTGTTGGTGACAGTGCAACCCCTTGAAAATTGTTCAACCCCTTTGTAACCCCCTTAGACCGATGCGGATAGCCCGATCCGATCTGGAGTGTCACATTAGGCCACCAGAGCGACCCACTGTAAAAATAACGAAAAATTTAAAACTTTTCTTAAAACATGTAAAATCATAAAATGATTTATTATTATTCAGAAATTAAATAGGTTTTTCAAACTCAGATATAAAACAAAATACAAAATACTCTGCAAGCAACGCCGGAAGAACTCCCTTACTGATGCTGATAGCTATAATGGTACAATTCTTTTAACCTGCAATTATAAGTAATAGAGTGAGCTTTGAAAAGCTCAGTAATACAGAACTACCAGATGATGCTATAGGACATGCAGATAAATTGAAAGCCATAATTTCTTTATTCAATCAGACGTATACAAATTTTCGGAATAATCTAAGGTTCCACTGGTAGTTCATCGAATAGAAGCCATGAATATGTCAATTCATAGGAAGCATTTCATACTATCACGTTTTCATGAGATCGAATAGGATGTCTAGTGTGTTCCAACAGTACAATAAATCATAATAGGTACACTTATCAAATGATAGTTCAGTAAATCTCATAAAATCATAATGAAGTTTAAATTTTGAAACTCGTAGTTTAAACCTTTCTCTTGTACCATCCGCAGTTCCCAGAACTACTTCCATAGGGCTTACCTTAAGCACACAACGAAAAGGAAGCCAACTTAAGAATAGGCTTTGGGGCCTGTATCCTTAAGTTCGCAAGTCCGTAGGGCTTACCCTAAGCACACAGTAAAGGGAGCCAACCTAATGGAGCATCTTGGGGCCCGTGAGCCTACCCAAGAGTCACATTAGGTCCGTAAGGTTTACCAGCTTGATCAGAGCTATACTCTGTAATGCAATCCATCCAAAATCAATATTTCAAAATACAATTTATGCAATAAGCATAATTTCCATAAATCCGTAATCATTGTTATAATATCAGTCATAGTCCATAAACCATCACCGGTAAGTCGGTGTATCAATAAACAGTAAATCATAGATTTCAATGTACCATATTTCAAAACAGATAAAACAATTATGTAGTACATAAGGAACACACTAGAGAATCCAAGTATTTTCAGAGGCCATTGTAGTTATCAGTATGGTAACACGAAACTTATGAAATTTGATCGAATTCCAGGAACGAGGTCATATTGAAGAGAACCGATTAATAACCAATCTAATCAGACATTTAAGGTTGATACTTTCGAATCCCTCTATAATTCATATATCTTAGGAAAGTGTTCAAGTATGAACAGAGTAATTTGAGCTGATAAAGTAGAAACGAAGATTCAGGGCACTTACCATCTATGTCAATCGATCGGGCTATCAACAACTCCTAAAATGATGTATTTCAATTGGTCAATTCATTGCCCTTCCAGGGTATTTATACTTTAATACCAACAATTCTTGTTTATAGATCATCTTCAAATCATCGCTGAACATCTAAAGGAATAATAGAGAATCCAAATCATCTTTATTCTATCCACATGGCAACAATATCACGAATTTTCAACGTATTTAATTCTTGGAGAATGGCTCGGTGGTGGGTTCTTTTCAAGAGGCTTCTGGTCCGGGTCCTCCCATTTTGATAGAGCTTATAGCAATTAAGAAGGGCTTGATTTTCTTTGCTTCAATTCAGCGGCGTTTTGAGGATCGCTTGATTGTTGAATCCGATAGTAAAGTTGCGGTGGACTGGATCAAGAACTTTGATAGATGTCCCAATGTATATAAACCTTGTGTACGGAATTATTACTAAGTTAAGAGGTTTGGGAGGCATCATTCGATGGGTTGCTAGGTCAGCTAATGTTGAGGCTGATGCCTTAGCAAATGCTGGTATTGGCCAGCTGTTTAGCCTTTTGGTTATGTTTGGGTTTGTTATTTTTTTACTATGGGTTGGTGTGTATAGGGAGTCTATATGATTGTTCCCCAAGTATTATGTAATTATGTGTTTAATGAATTAAGACACTCTTTTCCTCTTCCGCTGATTAAGGAGCACTTTATGATCCATTAATTATGAAGGGGTTTTTAACGAGGCCTGTCATTCCTATCAAAAAAAAAAATTTGAGTAGAATAGAGGATCTAAAATCAAAATTAGACCAAAACTAAATGAAATATATTTTATATAAAAACCAAGTTCTTCCCACTTCCATTTTCAATTTTACATCTCTTATTTTGCCATCTCTCTAAATCCCTTCATTTATCCTTTCTGGTTTCTCTTCTCTCCATAATAGAAGATGTGTGAGATCCTCCACATTCAAGGTGACCAGTGCGGCAACCAAATCGGAGCCAAGATTTGGGAGGTTGTTTGTGCCGAGCACGACATATATCCAACCGATCGTTACCAAGGAGACCAAGATCTTCAACTCGAGAGAATCAATATCTACTACAACGATGATGGGCTCTTCCAGCTCCAGTGAGGCCGCGATGAAAACACCTAAGGTAAGTTTCGGTTTTTGTTTCTTTTTCTCTTTTGTTTTACCTTTTTGTCTTTCAATTTTCCCCTAAAAACTCATTGTTTTTTTTGTTTCCCCGATCCCTCTTCTTCTCTGATTTTTTCTCGCTTAAACCCCAATCCCTTTATTTTTTTGATTGCATCTCCTCTTATCCCTGCTGCAGAACTACGATGTACCAAATCGCGATTTTGAAACGACCTGGAACTCGTTCGTACCGCGTTTTGGATCGCAGCGCACAGTACGTAGATCGTGGGCTTTTGAGCGATTTATGTAACTATGCCCATACCCTTTAAATGAATTACTGGCCCAGCAGGAATAATCCTAGAGATAGGGTAATCGGGCTCATTGTTGCCCACTGATTGGGCCTGTGAACTTGTATATGAAAATGCCAAATTTCTTATGCCTAGACCCGCATACTCTCCAACATTTTTCTGCCAAAGTCAAAGGAGTCTGACACCATGTTATTAATGCATTTCTCATTCCTTTTTCCAAATGGAGTTTGTTGTCCCTCACCAACTCCCATCAATCTGAAACCCACCCCTTGTTCAATCCACGTGACAACCTTTTGTCGTATACTCTCTATTAACTTTCCAGCACTTCAACATCAACTGACGTTCGACTGGCAACATCCTCTTCCGAAGAAACTTACTCATGACTCTCATCGGAAACTTTCTCCGCAACCTTGAAAGAGCCTTTGTCAACAAATCAACAACTTACGAAATTCCATCTTGATCTACAAATTCTTTTCAGCTTCACGAATTGCATGGAACTTTACGTTATGTGATTTGTTCTACCATGCTGAAGTGGATTTTCAGCAATTGCTATAACATAATTTACAAAGTAGAACAGTAGCATCTTCTTGCTCAAATCGAAGATCAGAATGCAAATATTGCAACCAAATTTGATTGATTTGCTACAGCAACAACAACAATGTATTCAGTAACACTTGATGCTCCTTTCCAGCAACTACAAAACCTTTAGGTTGATTCACATATATGTCTACTTCAAGATCTTCATTCAAGAAGGTAGATTTTACATCCAAATGGAATACATTCCAACCCAATTGACCTGCAATGGCAATGAGTAATCTTATGGTATCGAGTCTAGCAACCGTTTCAAATGTGTCACCGTAGTCAACTCCACCCATCTGTGCATACCCTTTTACAACCAACCTCGCCTTATGCTTGAACACAGTGCCATTGGATTGAACTTGGTCCTATACACCCACTTCACACCTATAATGTTCTTGTCATTAGGTCGATCAGTCAAGAACCATGTACATTTTTCTCAATAGCAGAAATTTGTGCCTTCATTGCATCAATCCATTCAGGTACCTTTGAAGCTTCAATAAAACGTGTTGGTTCAACAAAGATAAAATTGCACCTTTCATACACGCCAACTAAGGATTTGGTTTTGATAACCTCAACGGCAGTAATATTTGTTGTATCGAAACAATCACTAGTTTCATCATTCTAATATTATCAGTTGTAATAACTTCTTCAGTTATAAGTGTATCATGTTTCTGCACATCATTCTTCTCCCAATTACAATAAGAACCTTCATCAAAAGTGACGTCTCTAGTTACCACAACTTTCTTGTTTTCCAAATTGAAGACGCTATACCCTTGGATTGAGAAGAATATCCATAAAAATTCTTTTCCAGGCCATTTCATCTAACTTGGACCTCATATTGGCAGGTATATGACTGAAGCAAATTGAACCAAACACTTTAAGGTGTTCCACATGGTTTAGACCCAGACCATGCTTCAAGAGGAATTTCCCATTCACAACCTTGGTTGCTAACCTGTTCAATAAACACAGAAGTAGCGACGACTTCTGCCCAAAAAGATTTGGGAAGATGTTTTTCAAACAACATGCATCTTGACATATTCAAAACAGTTCTATTTCTCCTTTCACAAACTACATTTTGTTGAGTGTGAGGAACAATGAGTTGATGATGAATCCCAGTGTCTGCAAAAATCATTAAACTCCTTGGACGTATTCTCACCATTGTCCGTTCTTAAGACCTTCAACCTGCAATCACTTTGATTTTCAACAAATTTCTTGAATTCTTTTTATACCTTCTTAACCGTCAAGCATAGATATCTTAACGGACATTGGAAGAGGAAAAGAGTGTCCAAATCTCTACCTTAAAAAACTCAACCTACACAACTAATTGAAAACACCCTACATTACCCTATGCCCGACTTAGCTAAATCATCTCCTTCCCAACTAATACTCTGAACATGCCTAATGATCACATTATAATCCAACACGCGCTTGGCAATTTCCTTAACCAGATGAGCAAAAGCAACAGGACTTGCTTCCGGATTTTTAATACAATTCAAAGCATTGGAAGAATCACTTTCTAAAATAAGACGCCCCTTTTCGCTCCACTCCGAATCCAAAAAAAAAAAAAAAAGATTTAAGCCAGCTTGAATTGCTTTGAACTCAGCAAGAATCGGAGGGCCTGGACCCAGACACATACGAGGACTGTACTAGCTTACTTCAGCATTCCTAAGCAGTCTAACCGATACCACTACACCTCGTATCCCCGATAACAATTCCCAATCAAGGAGATCTGACACTCATTAATATGTTCTCTATCTCTGTTCTGCATCGAAGATTATTGTCCCCCATCGCCGCTTTCAATTCCAACTGTTTTCCTCTTCAGTCCACGTGTCCACCCTTATTCGTGCTTCCCCAAATGGCTGCTCATTTTCATCTTCCTCCATTCTCGTCCGACCGCCTACCTTATCCTCCGACGATGCATCTTTACTCAAAAAATCATCTGAAGCCTCCTCTGGTGCTTTTTCTAGGAAATCAATCGGCTTTTTGAACACCGAACCCAACTTATTCTCATTTAAGGATCTCCCATATGATCCTAAAGTAATCATATTCAGAACTTCAAAAAGGCTCACCACCCTCACTAGTAATCTCGCCTCTTTATTCTTGGTCGACTCTTGAATGCAAACCAGCGTGCCCCACCTCCCAGCAACCTTTCCAAGAACGATTCGTGCCAGCGTAAAAGTGGAACACCACAATTCAATCAAGTAGTAGGCCATTGGGACTCCATCATCATTCAGAAGGGGAGCCAGCCAGTCAAACCAGAAAATAACTCGTCTTTCTTATTATTCGTGTTTCCGATAACTCTTCAATCGATCTGAAAGTGATAATACAGGAATTCCATGCATAACCCCAGCTAGCGAACTTTACTTCAATTCCATCATTGAACAAAGCCTTCTGCATCAGTTCCAACTCAATAGATGATTTAATGATCCATGTTAAAGAGCATTTCATCCAATTCAATTCATCTGGATGGATATACATCTCCCAAACATTCCTCATCTCAATTGTAGGTTGCATGTACACCCTATAATCTCCCGGGTTTCAAGTTCATCCCTCAACCTTCTAGCCTAGACCAGTGTTTCTTTGTAAGATTTGTCATCCTTATACTTCTCGGAGACTCAACTCCCTATTTGATCTTCATTTTTTTCACCTTTAGTGACTTCTTAGCTTCCGCCTGGGCTCTATCTGCATCAACTTCCCTTCTTTGAGGATTATGATATTTTGCAGCCCCCACAGATACTCTTCTCCCATCAATCCACGTTCCATGACATTTCCAATAGCCTTCCTTAGACCATCCTCATTAGCAAACTGAACAAAAGTGAACATAGAGGCTTTGTACTTTGGTTTGTTCTTAATACTTGGAATAAATATCCTAACGACTGGACCTTGATAATGGAAGAGTTCTCTTAACGCTCTCCTTGAGACTCTCTTGCTCAGATATCCATGAACGTTGTCCATTCCTCACCGGATGAAGAATGACTTTTCAAATTCTCTCTTGCTCCCTCTCTCCCGCTCTTCTCATGTTTTAAGCTTGATATCTGCTGTTTAATATTGCTCTAGCATAAATCTAAAATCTTAAGTGTTGGAATCATCGTTGATATCTGCTGTTTATATTGCTCTAGCATAAAATCTAAAATCTTAAGTGTTGGAATCATCGAGAGTGCAAGTAAAAATGGTATAACTACAACATTTAGATTTCAAAACTTTCACTATTTTTAGTCTATAAGCAGTTACGAAACGAAAGGAGGATAGATTTAGACTAGTTAGGGCCACAAGAATCACCAACCGAGTATTGTGAATTAAGATTTTAGGACTATATATTGGTTTATTTTCTTGAATTCTTTGAACGTTGACAATACTTTATCTTAGTCTTAAAAATAAACCCAGCACATTCTTGTCAAGTCATCTATAAACATCATAAAATACTTGCTGCCATTAATAGAATTAGTATTTTAGTCCTTTGCTTGCTTCTTTTAGTCCACCAGAATTTTTCAGTGTGGCAAAGCTTATAACAAAAGGTATACTGAAATTTGGTATTGCCCTTTTCTTTGAACCGACAATCCTTTCAGCAGATTTGTCTTCTTACAAATAGGACATGGGGACTTTCTATTCTGACCAGCAGGAGAAAACAAATGCCTTACCTGGTTCGAACTTTCAATTTTTTCCCTAAGTTGTTTAAACTCACTCCTTTATGAGCATCAATAAATGCACCTTCACTCGCCTCTTGACTTGTCACAATATTCCTCAATAGTTGAAATTTTGCTTCGAACCAACACTGATCATGACTTTCTCCACATATTTTCATCCGATGTCTTGACCATAAAGACGGGTTTGGTTTACATGTCCAACCTCATTGAAAAATCTTTGATTAACTCACCTCCATTTGCAGCATAGAAAATTCTCTTTATAGTCAAAAGCTTTGTTTCTTACTCTATCTCCTCCCTCATAATTTCCTTGAGTTTATCCCAAACTCTCTTGGGTGTTTCAAGATCCATAATGTTGGTGAAAATGTGGTCTCCTAGCCCGGAGTGAATACACGTTAAAGCTTTATCCTTTTCAAATATTTCTTCATCATAAGCTTTGAGTTGAGCAAGAATGAGATTTGGTAAGAGATCTCAGATTTCATCTTAAC